GAAACATGATACATTGATGTGAGAGAGAAACATCAATTGGCTGCCTTCTGCACTCACTCCAATCTGGGATCAAACCCACAACCTGGGTATATACCCTGAACATGAATCAAACCATGGCATTTTGGTGTACAGGAGGAGTTTCCAACCACCTGAGCCTCACCAGCCAGGGTGTGGCAATGTTTTTTAAAATGAAAACTGAGCTCTGGGATTCCTTGGAGGCTGGAGCTGGGGCTGGGGGATTTGGAGAGTAGGCTCTGTTGGGCAGCCTTAAACAGGGCTCTCTGAGTGGTACCCAAAAGAGACTCCCCCCTGTTCTAAGGCTGCATGGCTGGTGAACTCTGCTTTCTAACTGCAGAAATTATCTGCTCCAAAATATACCACACTTAGAAGATTTTGCACTGGCTGTTTTCTCTGCCAGAACACTCTTCTCCTAGACAGCCACAAGGCTCACTCTCACCCCCTTCAAGTCTTTGCCCAAATGACTCCTTCCCCAGGAGGCTCACCCTGTCTACCATATTTTGCAGTGTCACCAGCCCATCGGTCCTACTCTGGAATGCCTGTTCTCCCTTAAACTGGTCTGTACTCTTCTTTTTCTATCATATAATTTACTTGTTAATTATGTTCATGATTTATTGCTTTTCTCCCCACTACCCATTAAAAAATGAAACTCCATGAGAACGGGGACTTTATTTTGTCTCTGAGGTATTCCAGAAATGCCTAGCATGTTAACACAGAAAACACCCGTAATGAATAGCTGCTGAGTGGAAGTCCAGGGTGGCGCTTGGTCTGGCCAAGCTACCCTCTTCGGCTCATTCTCGTGCCCCTGGGCAGCTTGGGAGGCGCAGGCTGATGCATTGGAAATAGGCTCCTCTGATGGCTTCTGTGAGGGGACTAATCCATCGCTCACAGTGCTGCCATAGGGAGGGAGTATTTAGCCAGCTAAAAGCAAAGCATTGGCACTCCGACAGCAGTGGGGCACAACCCCGTACTGCTAGGTATGAGAAGTATGATGGTAGTTGAGTCAGCTGGTCTCTCAGAGCCTTGGTTTGATGAACTCAAAAACGAGGGTGATGCTTTTCTCATTGGGGCAGGTAAAAAAAATATCTATGGGGATGAATCCCCAGCACTTGGCACAGTCTTGGCACATATAGGTATGCGATGCATTGATTGGTTGATTATGAGGAAAATGTGAGATAATGTTTGTAAACTCACATATACATAAAGTACTTGACATAGAACGTGGCATGTGGACATTCATAGTTCCAAATCCTACTATGTGCTCCACAAAGGGCAATATCTATGGGGATTATTGTATGAGCTACTCATCTCCAGTCTCTGGGAATGCCATGAGCAGTGTAGAGACCTGCATGAGATGAAACAAGCTCAAAAGGCAGTCTGAAGAGGGTGATACCTTGTGACTCAGTCTGCCTCAGCATGCTTGCAGAACATCAGGCAGATGAATACCCACATCCCTGGCTTTCTCTCCAGTTAGCCTGGACGCCTAAAACAGCTCTACTCACTCAAGCCAGTCACACAGGTGATGATAACTGAGGTCTGGGACCTTCCCTCCCAGAGACGCCCTCTCTTATGGATGTCTATGTGGGCTGGATACACAAACCAAGCAAATTTACTAATAAGCTTGTTCAGTCCATGCCGGAAGCTGAGGTCTAGAATTCCTGACTTGCCTGCACACTGCTCCCCAAGGGCCTGGATTTGAGGGTTGGGAGGACATCTGTGTGCTCTTTCTCCCATAGTTCTACAGTATTTTCTCCTAACTGTGCTCTATGAGTGGTGACTCACAGACATGTAAAAAGCAGTGATAATGAGGTCAAAACCAAGCTGACTCTGAGGGTTGGTAGTGATAAAACCAGTTATTATTAGCAGTAGTAATAGCAAGAACACATCACAAATAAGCCGTACCTGTTATGTGCTAGTCATACACAAAGCACAACCCATTGCATTTGGTTATTAGCCCAGTTTACAGATAAGAAAACTGAAGTGCAGGGAGGTTTAGTATCTTGCCAGGATTGCTCAGGTAACAGGAGCTAGAAGCCAGATTCACTCCAGATAGCACTTGCAAGATCCATTTATGATTGTGTGGCAAAGGGTCTGTTCAAGCATCACAGAGTGCCCAGCTATAAAGCCTGAGCACAGCATCCGAGCATTTTGGACCTCTTCTCGGTAAGAGCATCAGTCCTTCAGTTGTGTTGGGAGCTCATGAGTGTATGTATGTAAAGCTCTCAGATCCATTCCTGGAGCATAAGAGCCAAAAGTATTAGGAATTACTGATGTGATTCAAGAGCAGAAGTCTAAGAGCTCTGGGCAGAACCCACTCCTGGTGAATGGCTGGAGAACATTCTTTAAGTGGGGATTTGGGCATCTAAATCCAGGTTTACAAAGGTAAGGGAACCTCACACTTTCTGCAATTCCCTTCTGCTTGCCACTCTGAATTCTTTCCTGAACCTGGTGGGGCATGTGTGGACAGACTCAGGGGGGCCACCCCAAACCCGAGCTCTATTGCTTAAAGCTGTATGTCCTGGGCTGGTTCTTCCACACACGGAGTCTCAGTTATGCTCCTAGAAAAGGGATGTAATCCTGGTACCCACACCACAGGGCTACTGAGAGGATGGTAGGACAGCATCCTCTGGACACTGGACACATCCTGGCATAGAGTAAACACTCAGTAAAAAGAGGGTGCTTCATGCGCAAATGGATCATTATTCTTAGAATCATTAACATTTATAAGAATACCAACATGGATGTGCTCTTCCTTGCTCTGTGGCGGGGAGGGTGTGTGTGTGGGGGGTTTCAAACCTACACCACCGAGGAGCCCATCCTCCTCCTTTGCTACCTCTTTCCCCACAACAGCCTTTCAGACCTGCCTCAGCCCAGGAAGGAGCCTAATTCTGCATGGCTGGAGTTTCCCAAATGTGCCCCACAACACCCAAAACCAAGCCTGTCATGAAGAATGAAGGCTTTGTGTGGTTTCTCAAGAGCACACTTAAGGCCTACACTCAACCCTTCCAGAAATCCTATGCTCAGAATCATGCATTTCCATGATACTGAGCAAGAAACAAAGGAGCCTTAAAAAAATCCTTGTTGGGAAAAGCACTGGGATATATGGGGGGAGGGGGGGGATCTAAGAGACAGAAAGATAAACCTCGTCCACTATGCCTGACAGGAGGCCTCCGGCAGCCTTGGCTCTGCAGTGATGCAGGACCGTTTCAGAGGGGCTGGCCCTGTAGGGGGCTCAGCAAGTCTGGAACCCTGGGCAAATGTGTAATACATGAAGTTACACTACATATTAACACATAATGCTATCATTTATGGTTCCAGACTTCCTGGCTACCAAGTCCTGGAAATCACCAGAAGAGGTGAAGGTCAAGATAGGATGTGGCTCTCGCGCACCCCCACCCTCCATGGCGGGGCAAGTGTCTCCTTAGCCACTGACTGACCTGAGACCTTTGGATCATGTGTGCATCGTAGCTGGACCCGTGGTACTTGGCCGTAATATCTGGGCTGTAGCAAGCATCACAAGTGCATGGTATGTTCGAGCTCAGGGGCTGTTTCCTAGGTCTATAAACCTGTGGGAGAAAGCTACAATGGTTAGGTGCAGGAGGGGAGGGTGCAGGCGCACGGGGAAGGAGCTAGAAGTTAAAGAAGGAGGCTCATCTTGACTTTCTGTGGCCAAGTGGGTGAACACCCCAGTGTAGAAGATGCACAGCCCCAAACAAGAGGTCCGATGGAAGCGGCCCCCGAGCCCCGGGGCCAGCACTAGCAAGGCATGCCGCTCTGTGGAATGACCCCCATGACTGGCAGTGCCTGGGACCCTCCCTCTGCAGGAGAAGGTGCCCAGGCATGGCGGTGGTCCCTCTCTTTCGGCAAGGCAGCCCCATGAGAAATGGCCTCTGGTTCAGGGCCAAAGGATGCCTTTTCCTTCCCGAGGAGGAAGGGTTGGCCCAATTGTGAGGAGAAGGGACGTAAGCCTTTGAGCTTCCCTTCCATTCACCTTGCACCTTGTGCTCAGCCCAGATCAGCCTAGCAGGCAGCGGGCCAGTCCTGAGGGCTGACATCAATGTGGACACACTCCATGTGGCAGCCACTCCATGTGAGACCACAGAGCATTGAGCCATAAGTTGCTAGGTTTCATAATGAAGCTAGGATCTGAGTGAACATTTGAACCATTGCTTCCAAAAGCTCCCGAGTTATACAGAGAGGAGAAACAATGCCTGAAGAGTTCAGGGATGACTTTGCAACATGCTTCAGGTGCAATTATTTCCATTGAAGCCACTTCCAGAAGACCGTCCAGAAAGCAAACAACTTTTTTTTTTTTTTTTACACAAATTAGGACTTTGTCCCTCCTTCCTTTTCCCTCAGAAGAAGTACAGTGGCCTAGTGAGGAGGAAAATCAGGGTAATGAGGTAAACAGGTGATAAAATAAATATTAGACTAAATACTGGTCCGGGAGAACTCCAAGCATAGCCTGGCGGTGCCAGGGGCTGGGAGATGTCCCTCGGCCAAAAGGTCCAGGAGGAAACGGTTAAAGAGCCAAGGCTGGAAGTGTGGTGAGAAAGAAATCTAAAGAACTGGATGAGGGAAGTTATTTATAGGCCCAGAGAGTGAGCAAGACAGAAGATAACGGGTCCAAGGGGAGAGAATGCGCCCAGAATTTAATTAGTAGTTCCTAGGATTTAGTCAGAAGTCACACAAAGTCCACTGGAAGGAAGAGAGCGGAGAGCTATTTCTGGGGAGATGAGGCTAACATAAAAGAAAGGAAAACAGCGCCGGTTGCAAACCACACAAGGCCAGGCACATGCAGCCCACACGGAGAAGCAGTAAGATGGTGTTCCAGTGACAACTCAGGTCATTTTGCTCCTACCTGCTTTCAGCTGCTTGCGCCTGCAGGATGGACATGGGAAAATGAAGAGCTGCTAACCCCACAGGAAAGCACCCAGCGGCTCAAACCCAGCAAAACACACCTGACGGGCAGGAGGCCCCACCTGCTGCTTTAGCTGGTGCACCAGTCGGTCTTTCTCCCGCTTGAGGGCCATCACTTCGTCCTGTGTCTTTTTCTTTTTGGAGGCAGACAGTTCCAGAAGGGCGATGTTTGCATCTTTCTCACTGATTGCCGCAAGCAGCGCTTCCTGTCTGGTAAGATAAAAATTATTGTGATGATTTGTATAAAGTGGGGGAAAACACCATTTGTCATTTATAACCAAAAAGAGCCACCGAGTATTGTCTCAATGAGAAGGAATTATGGCTAATGCTTAAGACAAACTAACTCCTTGACTCTCAGGATAGACAAAGTTGTGTGGGTCAGAATCCCTGAGACCCACACACTGTATCCTCTAAGAGAGGTGACTTTCAATGGCTTCGCAGCTATAGCAGCATATAAGAAATGGAGGGAGTCCATATGAACATTTGTTTTTAAAACACCTTCATCCAGATACCCATTTACCCATCAAGTCATTCATCAATATGCCTGTCCATCTTTCCTTCCATCCATCCATCTCTCTATCCATCCATCCATCCATTTATCCATCTTTCCATCCATCCATCCATCTATCCATCCATCCATTAGCCAGGTAATGTTCTAAGCCAACCAAACAAAACTGGGCAGCAAGTTCAGTGTCAATTATAATATTTTCCTGTATGCTTTCTTTTTGAAAGCAGGCAGAGATATTTACTAGGGTTCCCTTCCCATTTTCAATGCAATTAGTGAGGTTTTCTTGTCATTCCACCAAAAATCATTTCTTCCTCAGTAGTCCATATCTCAGTAATCACAGCACCATCTACCAGGTAGCCCAAGCCCCAAACCTAAAGTCGTCCTTGATTTCTTTCCTTCCTTCTCTACCCGGAGCCAATCAACAACCTCATACATTCCTTATCTAAACTAATCTACTGGTAGGAAATGTTTCCCAACCACCAGCATCTATTCACATTGCTCATTCACCAGTCTCCCTGGCCCGGACGGAGGCCAAATAATCTTTAAAAACATTCTAAGTCCGGGTTCCATCACCCGGTTGCATGAAAAATCCATTGCATCACTCATTAGACTTCACATCCAGAGCCTTCACTGATGCCTGCAACTCGTTACACCAACTGGCCCTAACCACCTCTGTGAGGTCATCTTTTTCCATTTCTCCCTCCTCAATCATTAGGCTCCAGCACATTTTGTTCCTGAACTCTTTTCTGGTCCTTGAAAATGTTACACTTGTTCTCACCTCATAAGCTTTGTCTTGCCATTGCCTCTGGCTGGAATGGCCTCACCTCGCAGCTCCCTATCCCTCAGGTTTCACTCCAATGTATCCGCTTCAGACAAGCCATTTCCCGCTGCTCTCCTTGGCAGTGTCTCTCCACCTGACACCTTGTGCCCAAGCCGCTGGCCGTCTACATTACCCTGGCATTTTTTGTTTTGTTTTATACAACTCTTCACTAAATGAAAGGATCTTAGATATTGATGATTTTTCTCTGCTTGACACTCCATGAAAGGGGAAGCTTCTTGGTCTTAGGCACCCTAGTTCTCCAGCTTCTGGCAGAGCACATAGTAGGTGTCTAAAATGTTTGCTCAAGCAATAGAGAAGTTCACTTTATACTTCTCAAAAACATTGACAACAACATGTACAATTCTTTTCATGTAAAAATAATGACAATGAGTTGACTCCTGACTTCTCTCTGGTCACTGCTTATTCAGAAAAGTGTTAAAAGTTGACTCTTCTAATTTTAACAGTCCAATTTTAATGCAACAACTATTGCAGATTTTAATCTGGAATTTTCTGGGACCATTATTAACTAGGAAATGGTTCGTCTGGTGGGTTTTATTTAGTTCTCCTTTCCACTGAGGGAAGTCTTGTCGCAGCCATTGTGTCACAATGCCTTTCCCTTCCTCTTTGTAAAAAAAAAAAAAAAAAAAAAAAAAAAAAAAAAAAAAAAAATCAATAAAATATATTAAAAAAAAAAAAAAAAGAAATGTCAGGAGATATCTCCACTTTCCAGAAGAAAACCAGTGCAGGCTGGACTATGAATAGCAGCATTAATATCTAGCTTTACACAGCCAGTCTCTTTCTGGGTAGCATCCTAAGACAACAGACATGCTTATTGCTGATGGCCAATGCATATTTGTACATAACTCCAAGCTGAAGAGTCTGCATGGACTTCAAATCTCTACTCCAACTTAGCTACAACACACCCAAGATGATTGCAATATTTTACCACACTGTGCCCCAAGTGAAAATGTTCAAGTGAAAGTTTTCAATGGAAAAAAACCTTTAAAATCATTGGGAAAATTGGGAGTTGATAGCAAATCATGCTACATCCCTATAACTCACTCTTTACAGCTACAAACAGCCATATAAAATGTTGATGAAAAATAACTTAATATGTGAAAACAGTTATGTTTATTGAGAGACAATTCTCCATGAGTCTCCTATTTTTGCACACTCTTCATGAGCATAGGCACTATCTTCTTTTCTCACATTTTTTAAAGGATGTTTGTTTAATAAATAACCTTAAAAGATAGAGGTGGTATATCTGTTAGGATCAAAGACTAGCCATGCTTACAGTCCTGTATAATAGTGTCTCCTTCCAGCATAAAGGGCAGGCATGTTGCTGCCCATTATAAAAGAATTGGGCTCCCTAAGATCAGGGTTGCCCTCCTTTAATGCAACCCACTACAGGTGTAGCTATTCATCTGGCCCATCTGCCTTGCCTTCATGGAACTTGGGGAATGGAGAATTGACATAAATATGCTAATGTTGCTGTCTTCACCTTGAGCAATAAAGTCCTTTTTCTCTGACCTAAAAGTCTCTGGTTTGCTGCCTGCTTCCATGTTACTGAACCAGGCTGACCTGTTAGCATACCATAGGGAAAACCTCAGACCCTTCACAGTTCTTGACATGCAAATATCTACAGAATAAGATCCCAAAACATAAAATTCTATTCCCAGGAAAAACAAAAACAGGAAGAAAATGCTAACAGTCATTTTCTCATAGTGGTAAAATGAATAGGCTATTTTTAATTTTTTTCTGTATGCACCTTTTTGCATAGTTCTTCCCTTCCACAAAGTCTAAAAAATTGTAAATGAAACTTACAAACTTTCAGTCACCGAGTAAACTATAGGAACATGCTTCAAATACTTGGCAGATGTAAAATTTGCTCATTTTAAAATCAAAGCATTTATGTTTTCTTTGCCCTCTGGCTCTATATGCACAGGTGAGTGCCTACACACATCCTCTCATACATTTCATACACGTCTGATACAGTTCACATCATTCCCACTAGGACAGCTGAACAATCTTCTAGGCAGGCTCCCTATGTCCACCTCTATATTCCGAGTCCGATGGCCCCTTTTAACCCATTTTTCTCTTTCAGGTCAAAATTCAGAATTATATAATTTTTATAAGTTAAAAGTCATCATTAACCTAAAGAATGAGTCTTCTAAACTCCGTTTGCCCTATAATCCCATAATTTAGTATTTTCAGAATTTAACATATATTTCCCCTGTTATAATACTATCAAAAGTTCCAATACATTAATTTCTAATATCAAATTTTTATTGATCATATAAAAACATATCAATTCCTAACTCTTTACAGATGTTATTACTAAATGCAGCCCCAAATCTAGCCACATTGAAATCATTTTTATAAAACTACATTTAAAAACACTCATCAATATTAATATAAATATAAAATAATCAATTTTATTCTTCATAATCTTTTCCTAAGTGTCCTTTTTACTTTGTTTTATTTTGTCTGCTTTTATAAGTAACAAGTCTACTTAGATTGATAGAACTCTGTATAAAATTAGTGTAAGAAGGGTTACATCTATTTTGAAACCCTCATTTAAATATTGACCTTTATTAATGAAAAATTACCCTAAAATACCTTGATTGAACTCTACATTTAATAATTTTAGTCTATTTAAATCAAAGAGTAATTGCCAGAAGGTAATAAAAGTATATAGGACTAGACAAAGATGATAATTTCATACTTAGAATGAACTTATGATGCTTTTAAAGCTATGTCTGGCCATTACCTATTTCTACAGAAATGCCAGGTAGAGCAAACTCTTAATTCTAGGGGGTCAGAATCAACATATTATTTTTTTTAAGCAATAAGCTTTATAAAATGAATTTTTTAAAACTATCAAGTTGATGCATTTTAACTAATAATTTAGATCACTGAGAGCTAATTCTGCAGCTATGGACTTTCATTAGCTCTGCTTTAAAAGTCAGGGTGTTTTTTGTTTGTTTGTTTGTTTGTTTGTTTTTAAGTTGAGGATTTCTGAACATCATATTCTATACCTTTACAATTCCCATAAGCCTCTTAGCTGACACATACTTAGAGCATCTAATAATGAAGACTTTACTGAAAAAAAAAACAAACACTGAGGTCTATTTTGAGAAAATAGCAAACACTGGAATAAATTAAGAAACGTAAGTCGAATCTTCCTGCTTTTCCTTTTTCCAACAGGGATTGTGATCCAGCCTTTCCCATATTGGGAAAATAAAAGAGGTGCTGTGCCAAAAGACATGAGGGACAGGGCATTGGATATAAATTGAAACACAAAGAAAAATCCTCATTCTTTTCCCCAGCAGGTGAATCACCTTCTAGATCCAAGGCCAGATGGACATCACTTCAGAAATTGTTACTGTCACGTTGACCTGAACAAAGTGTCCCATTAGCCTGAAATCGCGTTCAGCACTTAATCTGCCCTCTTTGCTTATTCACAGACAATGCAGAGAGAACATACATACTCACCTTTAGAGTTAGTGAGGTTTAGGACATGCCAAAGGCTTGCCACCTCATCTTTAGAAACTGCAATGTTCCAGTGCACAACTGCTGAGGTGATCTGTCTATGCCCCCAAAGGCAGCTTAAAATATAAAAAGGGAGCCCCAAAATGCTAGGAAGGAAGATAAGATAATGCAAAGAGAAATAAATCTATAACAGCCTGCTGAATGCCAAGCTAAGAAAGCGGACCATGGACAGCATTTTATCAAAGTGCAGCCTAAACAAATGTCAAGGGGAATAATTTCTTTAACAAATATGGGCAACAATGGAGTGAAACAGGGGGCAATTCTGTGCCCTTGCGTGCATTTAGTCAGGGCTAACAATGGATAAAAATATGTGCATGGACACATTTAATA